ATTACATTAAGTCAAAGCGGAAATGGCCGAAATCACATTTGAAAAAAAAACAAAAAAACAACAGAATTACATTTGGGAAAACATCCAGATAAAACCCACCACTTCTGGTTTTGCTCTATGTAATTCCGTTTTTAAAAAAAATGTTTTTATTATAATTCCGTTTTTTCAAATGTGATTCCATTTTTTACAAATGTGATTCTGGCCACTTTCGCTTCGGCCACTTCCGCTTTGGCTTAATACAATTCTGCTTTTTCAAATGTTGTGATTTTGTTGCGTTTTTTTTCAAATGTAATTCTGTTTTTTCAAATGTTGTTCATTTACATCTCAGGGCCACCGTACTACGGTATAATCCAGGTATACAATCCAACAATTTTCAGTCAGGTCATCAGGACAGTTGCTTTTTTGTTTGTTTGTGCTGAAACGTTTCACCTTCCATCCAGAAGGCTTCATCAGTCTCCTCGTCGACAGTCATGTCCAGATGACCTGACTGAAAACTGTTGGATCTTTAGTGTGCGTTTTGCGACCTGTGGCATTTTTTTTTTTTATATTAATGTTTTTCTTTGAATCCTACACCTCAAAAGCTTCAAAATGACACATAGTTTGTAGAAATTTAGAAATGTGTCATCTGGTTAGCAACAAGCTAGTTTTCCCATTAATATTACACTAAAAACCCAAAGTGTTTGCTAATTAGTTGATAAGGAAACCAAAACTATTTTGTTGGTCTACACCAGGAGTTCTCACACTTTTTGGGTCCTTACAGGGGAGAAAAAGTTTCATAATCCTCATGTTTATTAAATAATTTTCTTCAATTTATCTCTTTAATGCAGTGGAAATATTTGTGTAAAATAAATAAACACTCAAGACCTGTTCTTTAATAGTGTTAATACAATTTTTATACTTTTAAACATGGAGTCTATTTCATTCAAGACACACTTAATTAACAACATTTTTAATTTCAGCTTCCAAAAATGACAGTTTTGAGAAAATTAACAGAATCAAAAACCACTTTAAAACTTTACCTTTCACATAATGAACATAACAAATGTACCACGTCTCTTGTTTATCGCGGGGGATCCGTACCCTGAAGCCCCGTGATGAGCGAAAAACTGCAAAGTAAGACTAGTAGTACAAGTAGTAGTTTATTTTAGTATTATATATATTAAAGTGTTTTAAACCCTTCCCACACTCTTGCTAGGCCTGTCACGATAACAGATTTTGCTGCGTGATTAATTGTCTCAGAAAATATTGTGATAAACGATAATATTGTTTGAACTTTGACGATAATTAGTAATTATCAAATTTAAGAAGAAATATTGATTCATTTTGAGTGTAGTATATTTTTGACCACCGGATGGCAGTATAAGACAGTTTGAACAGAAGGATGGATAGTGAGGGAGCGAGCAGCGTGTCTCTTTAAGAAAAATGGGAGGGAGGCCCCTTGACGTGACATGGGCTGTCTCTCCTTCCTGTTTTTCGGTTCTCAAAATGGCGGACGCTCATCGTGGTGTGAGCTCTTTAGCATAGCATTTTTCACACAAAGCTTTTAATATAAAAAAAAAATCAGTAAACAAGTTCTCAGCTTTTTTTTTTTTTTTTTTTT